GCATGGAAAAGCTTGCTCCTGCGACACGAAGATGCTCCATATGACAGTCTCTGTCTCTAGGAAGAAAAAAACCCACCTTATTGGTGTGCTTACTCTGTATTTGAGAAGCTATGTGGTGACAAAGGTCAGAGAACGCTACGGGAACCCAAGCGTCCTCTTGAGGATACCCTGCTGCAGGGCCACCCCGAAGCACCGCCGGCAGGTCCTCCAGCCGTCCCACCTCCTCTACCCAACTCCTGCCAGGCTACCCACAGGACAGCGGCAGGAAAAGCAGCTTCAGATTGGCTTTCTCACTTCGGCATGATATTTCCCGTGTTCAAAAACATGTCCACGTGGCACGCCGGGACACGGTTTAGCAGGCAATGGTGGTGATGGGTTCACAGTTGGACTTGATGATCTTGGAGGTCTTTTCCAACCTTAATAATGATTCTGTGATTCCCAGTGTGCCAGCTCCCTGTTGTCACAAGGAATCGGGAAGCAGCGCACGCAAGGGGAAAACTCCAGCCTGCAGCCGGTCCCATCGCTGCCTCGAGCCCCTTCCCCTCTCGGGTCCTGCCTGAGCAGGGATTTCTCAGCCACCAGCTCAGATGACCAGAGGAGAGCGAGGAAGCACTCAAGATGAGCTCACCAGCATGCCAAGCGGCCTGGGGCCCTTTTAAGAGCAATGCCGTGAAGGTTGCTCTGACCTGTGCTGCTTCCCTTCCTCAGAATTTGAGCTCACCAGTAAAAACACTTCTTCTTCAACATACAGACAATTCCAAGCTGCCAATGCCCAGGTCCTCGTTAAAAGGAGACAAGAAGCAGACTGCACAGCGAGAAGTTGTTTCCCTAGCATTTTGACTACTGACATTAAGGATGAAGGCCAAACTCTGGATGCGCTTACCCTCAAGAAATTATCACATGGACTATCAAATATTCTCCCACGGTAATTCTGCTCCCTCCTCAAGGATGCTCCGAGATGGACTTGCAGAGCATCTTTCGAGGAATTCGGAAGGACCAACTTGCCAACGAGAAGCATAAATTAGCCACTGCCTGAAGGGCAGCTAAAACTTGAAACCAAACTGTTGATGACATACTTTAATCCCACTATGACTAGCAAAAAAAGGACTGTGGCTTCTATACTTCCCCCCAAAAGAGTTGTTTCAGAGTTTGTTTTGGTGTCTGGCAGAAGTTTCATGCATAAATTAGCCACTGCCTGAAGGGCAGCTAAAACTTGAAACCAAACTGTTGATGACATACTTTAATCCCACTATGACTAGCAAAAAAAGGACTGTGGCTTCTATACTTCCCCCCAAAAGAGTTGTTTCAGAGTTTGTTTTGGTGTATGGTAGAAGTTCCATGAATACTTGCAGTAAAAGCAGCCACAGCGCCGCGTCTGTTTGCATTTTCACCGAGACTGAGCTAGTGTTTAGATGCTTTTCCTTGCTTAATCGGTGTTTGGGCAAAAAATTCATGGTTTTGGCCAGAGCTTCACAAGCTTGTATTTTACACAGTGTCCCCTATAAAGTCCAAGAAAAAGAGAACATTCATGGCTATGAACAGAAGAGCCTACCAAAGGTATCTTCCAAAGACGCTAACTCTTCAGATACTCTTACTCTGATTTTAACATGCCCAAGGAGATTAATGAAGATTAACTGACAAGTTAACAATTTTGATTTAAAAAGCTATTTATCAAACAAACCTGATTCTCTGTTGCCTACTCCTGGTGCCCACCCACCCCAAGCATTCAAGCCGAGGGAACTTTCACAGCTGGCGTTGCGTGGGTTTACACCGTCATCCCGTGCATCTTCAAAGCCTCGGGTGAGGGTATAAGAGCGTTACAAGGCGCTCAGTCATCCCCAAGCTACGCTGCCAACAGAGATAAGGCAACAGAGGATGCTGGACAAATCTTAGAGCCAGCTACGGTTACACTGCCAGTTCATCGCCTATTTATCCACATGTATTTTATTTCTGCAGTTTGCAAGCAGTGACCTGGTAGGAAAGGATCTCACGGGATCAGCAGCCTGTCAGAACAGGCAAACGGAGAAAATTCGGGTGACAGATCACACCCAGAGTGCAGCTCCAGCTTCACGACGCCCCAGGTCTCCAGAAGTAACACCTCAGGGAGCTGATCCTGGGTCGACCTTGAAAAATCTCGTGATTAACACTACCGAGTACTAGGATAAAATTATAAATACAGGTAAGATAGCGAGCCAGCATCACCCCAGGTTTCTGCATTGCTACACAAACCCCTCCATCTTATGAAAGACCTAGCCCCATCCAAAAACATCAGCTTGTCCTGCCCGTAGCAGAAATCACTGTGCCTATTTTTTTCCCCACACTCACCTCACCTGCCTCCCTTCTTCCCTGCAATTCCCAGTCCTCTACAACAGCCCCAGCGCTCCGAGCCCTCGCGACTCTTCCAACATGCCCTCAAGTGTCCTCAAGCAGCCCGTGCCAGCAACCACGAGAGAATCACAGAATCACAGAATGGTAGGGGTTGGAAGGGACCTCTGTGGGTCATCTGTCCAACCCTCAAAGAGAGCGAGAGGGAGAGGGACTGGCTGTGCAGCCACACAGAAAAACGACTGCTGGATTCTAGCTGGGCTCCCCCTTCTCTCTGCCTCATTTCAGCGCATCCACAGGAAAGCAATTCGTCACTTCTAATATTATTTTCTTTCTGGAAATCAGAGATTTTGAAAAGTTAGGCGTATCTTAAGGATTTGAGGCAATAGATGCTGAATTTAAAAAAAAAAAAAGAGAAATAAACAACCCACACTGCAGTCAAAACTGATAGAGTTTAAAAGATTCTGTGGTTTGTGGAAATAGATCGCTGCCAAGGAAATTTGCAGTTTTGTTCATTAAAAGCAAACCACACTGAGAAACGATTCAAAACCCTCCACTGCCTCGACGCCGACGCCAGCAGGAGAGCCCGTGTCCTGCCTGCAGCCCCACACACCATTCCCCCACGCCGGGCGTCTGGCAGCTGCCTGTCATCTCCAGGCCACCCAGCACTGGTGAGCTCCACAGGCTCCTCTGACAGCTTTCACGCCCTCGCTAACGTGGTTCTTCCTCTAATGAATGCTGATTTGTGTTAAGCCCATCTAGTCACAGGCTATCACTTATCAGAAGCCCACTCCAGCCCTGAAGACATTATGGCACTAACTGGAATGGAATTGCTGAAGAACTGACAACCTTTTAGGTCGTCATCTAAATAAAGTTTTACCACATCAACCTAACATTTAAGGGAAAGACCACTGCGGAGCGTCCCAGCGTGGCTCAGTCACTACAGGACAGTCAAACCAGAGAAACTGAGTTTCACATCTCACTGCTCCCACAAGCATCATCCGGGATTTCAGATGCTGAGGGGTCTGCAATGCCCTGATGCTCAGCAGCAGATCTTTTAGAAAGGAAAACAATTTACTACCAGCTCAGGTTAAATCCGCAAACGAACTCTAAAAGAATGACCCGAGTTTGAGAAGGATTATATGGAATCACAGAACCACAGAATCACAGAATAGTAGGGGTTGGAAGGGACCTCTGTGGGTCATCTACTCCAACCCCCT